TGAGCCTCTTATCAAGTGCGCTAATGTGGCCCGAAGTTGTAATTTAAGTTATAATTGTGACTAAGTTATTTGCACCATATAAAATGGCTGTTGGCATTGCACACCACCAAGAACTCTGAAAAGGACTGCTGCAGTGTTGATGTGTCAAGAGAGACAGACCCAAATACTGTCTCGGCCGATGACAAATTCGTCTACCGGCCAGCCAGAGGGCGACCCTGTCGCCGATGTAATCGAACAAATGTACTGTAGGCTCAAAATATATCCTTGCACTGCTTAGGGCAACCATTATTCTATGTAACTGTTTGATTTTATATCTAAGCCCGGCTCTCTAGCGTAGTTGGCTAAACCTGACTTTGCGGTGACCGGGTGATGAACTCCTTGTGGTCTGGGTTCATTCCCGGGGGTAGGCAACAAAAAAAACATTTCTCCCCGAATTACGGTACCTATCATGGAATCAAAGCCGAAGGGTTGCAATATCCATAGTAGCGAGCCAAAGGGTTAACAACTCATGGTTTCTGGATATTTGAAAAAAAAATGTTATATCTACAAAAGCAAAAGGTAAAGGGCTAGTATTGCCAGTTTATATTCATAAAACAATATAGGTCTTTAGACTTGTGACGCCATACAATACAAGGCACGCACCAAAATAAAGATGTATAGCATGAGGTTGACCAAGAACAAAATGGAAAGAAAATATCAGAGAAAATTTACCACAGCATGATGTATCAGGGGTGAGAGCGGGAAGCAGAACCTCGATGCCCAGAGGGATAGATGAAGAAATGAAAATGATAATTGTCAGATATTATCTCCATAATGAGGATAGGGTACAGTAGATCTGCAACACTTTCTGTCTCTTGTCCTCGTTGTTTACTTTCTTATACTGTTCATCTATGTCTTGATGTTGTCCTGTTGCTTGTATTGTTCATCTTTTCATCCACTGTGGTTCATAAGATAATTGTGTCTTTTAATGTGGCCAGAGTATTTCACTTTTTTTTTCTTTCAGCAACTTTGTTTTCATTTTCACTTGTCTTTTTTCTTTCAGCAACTGTGTTTTCATTTTCACTTGTTTTTTTTTCTTTCAGCAGCTGTGTTTTCATTTTCACTTGTCTTTTTTTCTTTCAGCAACTGTGTTTTCATTTTCACTTGTCTTTTTTTCTTTCAGCAACTGTGTTTTCATTTTCACTTGTCTTTTTTTCTTTCAGCAGCTGTGTTTTCATTTTCACTTGTCTTTTTTTTTTTTCAGCAACTGTGTTTTTATTTTCACTTGTCTTTTTTCTTTCAGCAACTGTGTTTTCATTCCCATCTCTCCATAACCTCTGTATTGGATTGGTTTTGTTTCTGTGAAATATGACCTCATCATCATCATCATTTAGCAGGTCCTTTGCAGAATATCGTTGACATCATGGTCTGTCTGAAAGAAACACTCTGTCTCACCAGCTTTCTCCCCACAGGCACTTTCCTGCCCAAGGTGTCACATAAATCCTGTGTCTATCTTCCTGCTTGTTGGCCCAGCCCCTATTTCCTGGTACAATACTTTCTGCTATTATTTTTTCCAATCTGCCATTGTGCTTGATATGATCCAAAATATGTCAGTTTCCCAGAACAAAATGCTGTTTACTAGCCAATCTTCCTTGATGTTCAGATCTTTCAGGATGTCATTATTTCTTTTCTTCTTGGTTCCTGATATTCTGAGGATGTTTCTTTAGCATTTTAGCTCAGAGGCCTTTATTTTCTTCCTAAAAGACTTAAAATGACCTATTCTTCTGTATATTCACATCTCCAGGGCTCCACTTTGACTTTCTTATTCCTTATCTATTGTCCATGTTCTGCACTGTATAGTAGAGTTGAGTGTACCGAACAGTTGGCAGGGCAGGTCTTATTTAAATAGTGTTGTTTATTTTTCTAGATATATTGATTGATAAGTTCTCATAAAGTAGTGCAAAAATGTTATGGATAAAGTAGAAATGCAAAAAGATGCAAGATGCAAAAGATTCTCACCAATAATAAGATATCAGTTGCAGTAAGAAAAAAAGAGAATAAAAAGTGTTAAAGTGCTATGTAGTAGAAACTGTGTTGTTATTTACATGTGAGACACAGATAATAAGCAGGCAAGCTGAAAAACATTTACTCACAGCAGAGATGTGGTTTTTGAAAGGAATGCAAAGAATATGGAAGGACAGAAAAAGAAATGACGCAGTCCTCATTGAGATAGAGGAAAGTCGTAAACGTGTTTGAACAATAAGACGTAGACAGTTAATGTGTGTGTGTGTGTGTTTTTTAAAACATGTTATGAGAGGAAAAGGACTTGAAAACTTAGTAACAATAGGCAAGATTGATGGATGGAAAGCAAGAGAAAAGCAAAGAGATAAATACCTGGATGGCTTGACCACATGGATGGGGTGAGACAAAAACATTGACCTGATCTGTGATTCTGATGATCGTGTGAGATGGCAAGCATGACAGCTTATGCACACCGGCATGGCACATGATGATGGTTTCAGAAATGCTGGAGACTTGTGCCAGTTATTATCCTCATCATCAAGTATGTCAGCCTTTGAGATAACCATGCAGTTTCCTGATCATTTCATTCCATAGTTATCTGTCTTATGCTGTTCTCTTTAATTTTATCAAGAAAGGATGTAAAACTGAATGAAGAGTTTATCAGCAAGCTTCACAATATAACAAACACAAACAAAAATGTGAACGTTGCGACTATGGAGCCTTCATCAGCACATACATCAAACAATACCACACAAATACACAAAATCACTTAGCTTAGTATCTCGACGCAACAAGGTTGATGTCTTGTCAGTAGACTGATGAGACATGTGGGACAGGATAATAAATACCCCCGGAGAATTGCAGGGGCCATAACTGGAGAGTTTTAGATAAAATTTTGTGAGCAGTTCAGTCCCCTAGGGTTTTAGATAAAACTGTGTTGGCAGTTCAGTCTTCTAGGTGTTAAAGTGCTTAAAATGAAAATAAAGTGATTTTCAAGAGACTTGCGGACTCTGTCTTTAATTTTATGTACATCTTCATCAGTTGATATGGCAGGCTAGCTGGAACTGTAGTTGGTCTGTTTGGCCTTACCATGTGTAGCAAGCTAGCTGGAACTGTAGTTGGTCTGTTTGGCCCTACAACATATGGCAGGCTGGCTGGAACTGTAGTTGGTCTGTTTGGCCCTACCACATATGGTAGGCTAGCTGGAATTATAGTCTGTTTGCCCCCCCCCCCCCTCCCCCCACATATGGCAGGCTAGCTGGAACTGTAGTCAGTCTGTTTGGCCCTACAACAAATAGCAGGCTGGCTGGAACTGTAGTTGGTATGTTTGGCCCTACCACATATGGTAGGCTAGCTGGAACTATAGTCTGTTTGTTTCCCCCCCCACATATGGCAGGCTAGCTTGAACTGTAGTCAGTCTGTTTGGCCCTACAACATATGGCAGGCTGGCTGGAACTGTAGTCAGTCTGTTTGGCCCTACCACATATGGTAGGCTAGCTGGAACTATGTTTGTTCCCCCCCTCCCCCACATATGGCAGGCTAGCTGGAACTGTAGTCAGTCTGTTTGGCCCTACAACATATGGCAGGCTGGCTGGAACTGTAGTCAGTCTGTTTGGCCCTACCATGTGTAGCAGGCTAGCTCGAACTGTAGTCAGTCTGTTTGGCCCTACCACATATGGTTGGCTAGCTGGAACTATAGTCTGTTGTCCCCCCCCCCCCCCCCCCCCCTCCCCCACCTCCCCCACATATGGCAGGCTAGCTGGAACTGTAGTCAGTCTGTTTGGCCCTACCACATATGGTTGGCTAGCTGGAACTATAGTCTGTTTGTTCCCCCCCCCCCCCTCCCCCACATATGGCAGGCTAGCTGGAACTGTAGTCAGTCTGTTTGGCCCTACAACATATGGCAGGCTCCCTGGAACTGTAGTCAGTCTGTTTGGCCCCACAACATATGGCAGGCTAGCTGGAACTGTAGTCAGTCTGTTTGGCCCTACAACATATGGCAGGCTGGCTGGGACTGTAGTCAGTCTTATTTGGCCCTACAAATGGCAGGCTAGCTGGAACTGTAGTCTGTTTGGCTCTACCAAATATGGCAGACTAGCTGGAACTGTAGTTCAAATAAATATCAGATTGAATATATAAATTTGACTTTTGACCAGTCAGCTTGTGATCTGGTTGTCAGAATGGAACTCAGTCTTAAGTCTAGGAGACCCTGTATACTAATCGTTTACCTAGAATTGAACATTTTTGTAGAAAGTTCCGGTTTGTGAGTTAGTGTTGGGTGTAAAACAACAACGCTGTGATTTTAGGGAGAAGAGGTCACAACAAATCTGCAAAATTTGTCCATATTGTATTATTTGATTATTTATTTATTAGACAGTTGAGACCCCCCACACACACTCATGCACGTGTGTGCACGCACACACACATGTCACACGCAGACACACACACACAAGTATGTTAAAATCCAGTTGAGAAACAGCAAGACTACAGTGCTCCTATACCAGGTCATGACTCATACAACCCAAACACCAGTGCACTGGATAAAAGAGCTGCAAATGAAAGACTTCCAGAGGACTTAAAACCAGCCAAGCACATAATCGACCAAACAAACCAGCCAGTCAGCCAACCAGTTAACCACCCAAACTCTGCCACTTATACAACCAATCAGTCAGCTAATTAACCGGCCACCCAACCCCATCAATCAAACATCAAACCAACCAATCATTTGACTAACCAATCAGCCAGTTAACTAACTGCCTACCCAACCTTATCATTTATCCAATCAGTCGCCCAGTTAATCAACCTAATCACCTAACCCCACTATTCGACCAACCAGTCAATTTGCCAAAAAAAACATTCAGCCACCCAACCCCACCAAACTAGCCAATCAGTTGACTAACCAGTCAGCCAGTTAACCAGTGCACCACCCAGCTCTACTAATCAACCAATCATATCTTTCCAAATTGAAGTTTATTCACCCATTGTGTTTCTGTTTGCAGACCCCTGCTCCCATCTGTCAAGAAAACTAAGCTTAGAGCCTCAGGAGACAATTTTTGTGAAAAGTGTCAAAGAAGGAAGCCCTGCCTATTATGCTGGTCTAAATATAGGGGATCGTGTTCTTGCTGTCAATGGAATATCAGTTTCTGACAAGTCCTATCAAGATGTGATTAGAACTATTCTCCAAAGGTTCATTTTTTTAAACTCATACATTTAATTAGAATGTCGTTTTCTTATGTATCATTTGACATGTGATTGTGTGGGTAAGTGTGTTCATGTTTCTTTGGCTTCTTCTTCTTATCATATTTTCTTCCTCTTCATCTTCTTTCTTCTTTTTTTTTTTTTTTCCTTCTGTTGCCTTCCTCCTCCTCTTCTGTTTTTATTCTCCTCTTTCATCTTCCTCTTCTTCTTCTTCATTTTCTTCTTCTTTTTCATCTTCTTCTTGTCTTCCTCCTCCTTCATCTTCTTCCTTCTCTTTTCTTCTTTTTCTCTGTCTTTTTCCTATCTTCTCCTCTGCTTCCTCCTCTTTTCATATTATTTTCAACCTCCTATGTCAACAGCAGTCTTCTGCAGAAGCATCTACATTGACCTGCATAAAGTGTCTGTGTGTCTTTCCTAGCTGTCACTGTGGCCCTAACTTTCCTTCACGTTTTGAATAAAGCTGACCATGTTCATCATCATGTGCCTTGGCATGCGGCATAGGTGCTTATGTCTCTCTATAGATATCAACCTTTTGGTGTGCAGTTTTTTTTTTTTAAATCAATTCCACTGACAATATTTCTGTGCCATCGCTTCAGGCTATCAAGCCTCATTTCTATTTGTCTGCTTCTGGCTTTTCTACAATTGATCTTTATATAGTTTTCTTATTTCATTAGTCATTTCAGGCATTTGTTGTTAGTCACTTTGGCTGTTCACAGTATCCGCAGCACGTGTCTCAGAAACCACATCGCCACCACTTTCAAGTTCTCAATTTGTTCATTCACTTACCAAGATTCACAGCCATATAGAAGCAGTATATAACATAGGATTAATTTGTTCATTCACTTACCAAGATTCACAGCCATATAGAAGCAGTATATAACAGAGGATTAATTTGTTCATTCACTTACCAAGATTCACAGCCATAAAGAAGCAGTATATAACATAGGATTAATTTGTTCATTCACTTACCAAGATTCACAGCCATATAAAAGCAGTATATAACATAGGCTGTTTATATTATATCTGTTAACTCGCATTCCTCGCCTATCTTTGATCCCGCTCTTATCATTTCACTATAGAGAAAGAAAAAGAATCTGGTGATAAAACCCATCTTTACATAACTCCTTCTTTTATTTGTTCATGATTGTCCACTCTATTTCCTATTTTGATTGCTACTACTTGTTTCCAGTAAATATTTGTAGTAATTCTGAGATCTGCCCTATCACTGCTAATATTCTCTAATGTTGTGATCAGTTCATGTTGAATGGTGCAAATGTTTTGGTGTAATCTATAAAGCACAAATACGGTGCAAATGTTATGGTGTAATCTATAAAGCACAGATATAGGTCTTTCTGTACCTCAGACGAGCTCTGTGTCAGTGTTTAAAGTATGTAAATTGCGTTATTTGTTCCTTTTCCTTACAGATGTTATTGTAATTACTAACATCAAAAATTAAAGATGTAACCATTCTTTTCCTTGCAGTGGTCATACCCTGAGACTGCTTGTTGTCCCGAAAGATGATGATATTCTACAACTGGTAAGTGATTGCTTTCAGTCTTGTATGTCCAGATATTGTTTTCCAATATATTAGAAATTTATTTCCAGTCAGTCAAGAGAGGAGGAAAAGATATGGATGCTAGATAGGACACAAATTGAAATAGCTAATAATATATAAATAGAATGTCCTTGGAGAAAAAGAGACAAAAAACACCTTTCTCAACATGCTCTGTGAGTCGGTTACAATTACAACATGTTTGTACAGCTGACTCTCAAACCAGCAGTAGGCAGAATTTATATTCAGACTGTTCTCTCGTTTCTGTCACATTGCAGGCCTATGAACCCCAAGCAAGAGACTGCAAGTACACTAGTAGCTCCTCCTTAACAGACAGTATCAGGCAGCCTGGTCTGAACAAGTCCAGCAAACACAGATACAGGCAGGTGTTTTGTTAAATTATTGCCAAACTTGTTTAGGTTGCTCTTCTAGTGTTGCTGATATGTCTGCTTAGCAAAAAGAAAACAAAGTCAAGCCTATATTAATATAACTACTGGGTAAAATCAGTTAGGAAATATCAAGTCCTTGGCATTGCAAGTTAAAATGAATTATAAAAGATCAGTTTCTTGGCTCTGGAAGTAAACAATGAATCATAAAATATCAGGTTCTTAGGATTAATCTTACTTACTTAGTCGCTGCTCTTCTACCTTGGGATGTTTGCCAGAGAGATCGCCAGACTTCTTTATCAGCAGTTTTCTTTCTGGTTTTGTTCCATTCCGGTCCTCTGTCAGTTAGGGACTGTCAGATATTGTCTTCCGAGCATACCCTGAAGGTCTGGTTCTTTGGTTCTTAGCCTGCCATGGTGGCTGATTTTCTGCCATTTTGTATGCATGTCTAAACCATCGTAACTGTGACTGATCCACTCAGGTTTGTAAGGCCCAGGTATCAAGATCTTGACGAATTGACTTATTGCGGACTTTATCCCTTCTTGTCACTTGGACCACCTTTCTCAGATATCTCATTTCTGAGGTCTGAAGCTGGCTTCTGTGAGATGTTGTCATTGCCCATGGCTCACACCCGAAGGTCAGAACTGGCACATAGGTACTTAGCATCAATAAAGAAAGTCAAAAGCAGATGAGGGCTGATATACTTTTTTTTTTTTTTTTTTTTTTGGTCTTTAAAAACTATAGATACAGAAACACTTGTACTGGACGAGAAAGACATTTTGAAGATCATTTATGACTAGATGCTGATAAAAGATTTGATTTTAGATGAAATAACGTGAGTAAGGATATGTGAATGGGGAATTAGTTTTAGTGTGGATCTTGCATGGAATGACTGGGAGTAGTACAACATGTGTACAACCAGTGTGCTGCTCAAAAACCAGAAACTACATGATAAGATATTTGCTGCCAAAGGTAAAGCTTTTGTGGATATGCCCAGTAAGGTGTGATGTTGATTCTTAAATCAGTAATCAGAAAGTGAACATATTTACATGGTTTATCGGACGACACAAAAGCAGATCTAAGTCTATTGCGGTTAGCATTCAGAAAATGAATTGACCACCCTGTTCTCATTATTCTGTCACCTAGAATAAATGAAGGCCGTCACTTGCCACTACAAATGTGCCATAGAACTAAATTTACAGAAGACTTAACTGTACTTTGTTCCATGGTTGTAATTAGTTATTATTTTCAACAGTTCAAGTGACATAGTCAAGGGAAGTGCTGGAGAGAGTTTTGATTTTGGCTCTAGCAATAGTCTGCGTGGTGCTTGCTGTGAGATTCGTCACTCATACCCGTTGAGCCAGTGGGGACAAGACGGTGCAGAACTCCGGTAAAACATGTAATTCTTGTGTCATTTGTGTTTACATTTATGCTCTAATTTCTTTTTCTTTTAAGTTTTTTTTTTTTTTTTGTGGCTACAAGTCAGCTTATGCCAAACTATACTTCCAACCATGATCTACAGAATCAGGCTTTGAAGGGCGGCTTGCGCATGCCTGAATATAATCTCAGATCTGAAGAACTCTTTGCACCACATGCTTCAGAAAAAAAAAGGCAATAAACTATAAAGGGCCAATCATGGCAAGATAGGGCTGAGGATGATATCAAGCAGGTCTGCAGTCTTACAGACATCACCAAAAGTGAGAAATAGATTCCTGTGCCTAAAGCACTCAACCGCACCTTCTTTTGTGTCGTCAGACTTTATAGGAGCAGGAGTAGAATCCTGTTGCTGTCAGTGCCAAGGTCCACGTACTTATCAGTGTGAATTCAGGGTACTTAATTTATAACTTACCCCTGACGTCACGACTCCGTCACGGGAGACATTCCCAATAAATTCTAGGGTTTTCAGGTTGTAGTTTCTCGCGATTTATCTACAGCCAAGTTTAGGGTTAGGGTTAGAATACACTAGATGAACACTCAGAAACAGCACCACACAACAGCACACTTGCACCCCTTGAAATAATGGACTGTCAGGTCAGCTGTGGATTTCCCAAGGGAATTTCGTGTTTGGGGTACGTTAAGAACCGAATTCAGATGAGAGATGTTCTGATCTACACAGACAGGTCCATCATACGAGGACACATAAGTGCATGGGCATTCACAGCTCGAGGAAGCCAGCAGTGCAGTCGGACTGACAACGCCTAAACCACAGACGCCACTTCAGACAAAAATGCTAGACCTAAATTCTTATCGATTAATCGGCAGTCGATGAATGGTGTGGTTAGCATAATATTGACCTCCTTTACTTCCCAGCTCATAGCATGTGACCCATTTTAGGCTGGGTTGACCTGGGAAACCAGCTCATTTATGAAAAATATTATCCTCAATGCAGATTTTAACCCCAGATGTTTGAGCTGGTAGGTAAATATACTAAATAATCCTTGATTGATCTGAAAAGAAATTTTGAAACAAAAAAAAGAATTATTGGGATAGAGTTTCATTCGCACATTCAGTTTACTTTTGCTAATTATTTCAGGTTTGATGATTTTTCTCCTGGCCTCTCATCACAAATCTGCACTGGCCAGTCTCTGATGAATGATAATCACCCTAGCCAGGTAGTCACTGACACAGCCTGCCATTTTCAGCCACAGCAGCAGCAGCCTGAATCTGTGTCTCAGGTTAGATTTATCTCTTTTCATAAACTTTCTCTCTGCTTATTGTTACCATAAATTCCAAAACTAAAAGTTGACTTGTACAGCAGGTAAACTTGTACAGCAAATCAGCCTGTATGCCACTTCTTCTTCATCTTTTCTCTACTCCTGGAATACCTTGCCGCGTCAGGGCAGGAAGAGATCGCTGGAATGGGCTCTTCTGTTCACTTTTAAAAAGTACTTTTCAGTGTCTCTGATATTTCTGCGGTCCATCTTCTTTGTGGTCGACCCCTCTGGCTCTGTTACCGCTGTATCTTTAGAGTGTTGCTCTCTATGGTGTCCTGTCTGATGCCAATCTTTGGTACATAGCCAAACCATTTGTTTTGTTGTCTACCTATTAAGTTCAGTATTGGTTCTGTGCCGATTCTCCTCCTGATATCATCTTTCCTAAGTTGATCTTTCCTCGTTACACTAAGCATAGTAAGTGAACATTTTATTTCTGTTGCCACAACTTATGGTATTAACTCTTTCAGCCCTAAGATGGTGTCTATGGCTTAAGGATTGTGAATGCAGTTTCACAATCCTGACATGCAGATGTTTCAAAGTCAGTTGCAGTTGATTTGATAGTAGACTACTTTGCATTTGTTTTGCCAACTGTTTAAGCATCATACCATTCAGTAAGCATCGGCATTCTAATGAATGTGAAATTGTCTATAAAAACTAAACAGCCAGTAAATGTTAAGCTTGATATGGGAAGTTCTCTAAAGGATGTGCAACTAATTTTTTTTCTCTGGCCCTAGACAACGTATAATTTTGCATGCAACTGTTTTGGAGTCCTCAGGTAACCTTCTAGTTCTGGCAATCATAGTTGATTACAGCTCACACATGTTCAACATTTTTGATATTCTGGCTTGTTGCAGGCCTTCCAGAAATGGAATCACATTAAGCAGTTTTTTTTTAAGCATCTCTGAAGCATTTATGCGACACTTTTACGATACAACTTGCCTAGCTCGCTAGCACAGTTGGCTAAACCTGACTGCGCGGCGACCGGGTGATCAACTCCTCGTGGTCTGGGTTCACGCCCTGGGGTAGGCAGAAAAACCACATTTCTCCCAGATTTACAGTATCTATCATGGAATCAAGGCTGAAGGGTTGCGATATCCAGAGTACCGTGCCAAAGAGTTAAGAAATCATGGTTTCTGGATACTTTTTTTTTTTAATGGAACAACTCACGAAGTCGGGGCCAGAAAGAGAGGAACTTCCCTTGCCATTCATCCCTGGTTATGTCATAGGGCCTGTCCTGTGTTGCTTAATGAGCGTCCAGCAACACAGCAAATTTTATACGTTGTCAGGAAATCGTCTGTTCTATGTTCCACAATGTGAGCGCTTTTAGTAGAACTGGCCCTAACCCAAACCCCACTATGCCTAAGCCTATACCTACATCGCATGAGAGAGTGCACCTACGTCCCACGACTGAATGCAGCTTATGACAACAACGCGTAAAATACATTGTGTTACTGGACGCTCACAAAGCATTGCATCCCCGCAACATAGCCCTACGACACGACCAGGGATGAATGACAAGGGAAGTCACTCTCTTTCTGGGCCCGAGCTCATGAGATGTTCCACTTTTATTTATGATGTACCCATTGTGATTGTGATGCATATTCTTTGTTCTACTCGCAAATTTTTTTAAAGCAACAACTGTATAGTGCAGTTCTTCCCAAACTGTTTGACCCACTGCTATTTTTTCAATGAAAAGCATAAGTGGTCATCATTCGTCATCCTAAACGATCTGCAAAAAGGCGGATAAGGTGGTGCTCTTCTCCCACCTCATGCTTGTGGTCAAGCGATCAAAGTATTTATCTCTTCACTCTCCCTGTCTCCTCTTTCTGTTAATCTGGCTAGTTGTCACCAAGTTCTTGAGTCTATTCCTTACCTTAAAATATACCTTCTGTAATCAAACAAAAAGAATCATATACTGGCAGAAGTAAAGAATAACATATTCTTCAACGAGAAGGATGAATCTGATTGGTTGTACACTGAACTGAGAAGCCCGTGGCTGTCACTAGTGTTCATATTTAACCACTTTTTTTAGAGGTGATTTGGGGGGGGGGGTAACGTCATGAGCCTGAGGATTTAGGGTTTCATGGTCAGAGTTGTTGGCATAGATTGTGCAGGTCAGGGAAGCTCATAAACTGGTCTATAACAGGGTAGATCATTTTACCATTGCAAAGTTTTACAGTGCAATAAAGGTGGTCCATGTATCCAAGTAAATAAGTAATAACTATTATGTGACACATGTAATTGTTGTGACTTGCTCTGTCTCACTTAAGGGGTCACTACATGAAAAAAAAATTTTTTTTTATTTACAATGTTAGACCAATTATTTTATAATGGTCATTTGTAGGGATGTATGTTGATACATTTGTACACTTCAAGTTTAAAAAAACATGGTTGCCATGGCAACAGCCGCCATCTTGATGAAAAAACGACATGTACTTAGTCAACTGAAATTCCAAAAACAAACAAAGGTATTGAGAAACAGATTATTGATTCATGAACTTTAAACCTACGTTTAGGAACTTGGCTAGTTTATTTACTTCAAAAATGTTTCTTTATATTTTTTTTTTAGAATATTAAAATTTAGGTATGTTGAAAAAATACAAAAATGTAGCTTTCTGAGATAATAATCAAATTTAAAAACAAAATACTTAATAAACTATACTTTTAAATAGCCATGTAGCTTTAATATTGTGTTAGGGGTATCCACACCAAATTTCACGTCTCCAGTCTTTATATTAGCTGAGATTTTAGGAGATCCCACACACAACAAACAGAAAAACAGAATTGTTAGAAAAATGACTTTTAAACTTTCAAAGTCACTTAAAATATAATTAATAAAGAAATAAAGTGTTCTTACCCTGTCTGTTGTATTCTGCATCATATCCACAGAAAATGTCACATAAATTTAACAATTAAATCCACCAGCAACATAGGTTATGCCTTCTGTTACATCATGCTGGTGTTCTTGTTCGAGTCGCCTTTTTTTCTGGTTTTTCCTCTTCCACTTCGAAAGACTTAACGTTTGTTTTTTGGAATCATAATACTTTCTCTTCAGCATTCTTGTAGGCATACAAGTTGTTTGTAAGTACCCATTCCAGTCCATTTGGTCAAAATACCATTTTCAGGCCTATAGGACCACAGTTGAAAGACAGAGTGGCAAGTGAAGTTGCTGTCTCTCCACTGCTGACATCGAAGCAAATGTTGTTTTAGGACAGCGCTGCCAAATCAATGCATTAAAGCTTTCATTGGCATTCTGAGTGCTCATTTTTAGCACAGCGTTGAAGAGATCTGGGTCTGTCAACTTTTCACAACAGGGTAGATGATGCTGCCAACTTGCGAGGAAAATGTTGGCCGATGTGTCTTTGGTGCAAAACCTGTGGCTGTCAGTGTCTATCTCTGGAAGTGACACCAAGAATTTTCACCCTCTGGCTGTACAGAGTCTGTGGTTGGGTTGCATTGTCAGTGCTCATCATGTGGAGTATACTTCAAACTTCTGCTGTGCTCTACAACAACTTTCTGAGTTTGCAGTTTCAGCAGCACCTTCAGTACCCGTAGGCTCATTGGTGTCAGCATTCAAAGTAGAGCTGGAACACAAAAATAAAAGAAGCATTAAATTAGCATCGATCACATTACCAGCATGGCATTAATTTAATGGTGATCGAGACGAAATAAAAGTAAAAGCGAGCCGAAACGTGAAAACGACATCATAAATTTAATTTTAGAAGTAGAAAAATTACCTCAGATTCAAAGATTCCCTAAGTTTCCTTGCATGAATTCCTCTAGGCTTTTTATATCTCTTTTTTTGTCCAAACACAAATCCTTTTCTTGTCATAATGAAAGCGTATATAATAATCTTAATTAAAACACCAGCCGTCAGAACTTCAAAATGCGATGGAAATGAATCAGCACAAAAACAAACAACATTGGGGAAACCCACGCTCTGCGCATGCGTAGGATATTCGTCGTCAAGGAAATGTCTTATAGGTACCAATCAAATGCTGCCAAATAATAGAGCCAATGAAATGTTGGTATGGCTATGATTCTAATAGTTTCGTATATTGTCGGCAAAGCTCGCAGGTGCTTCCGTATATAGAGAAATGAAAAGGTATTTGGACGGCGGTAAAAATGATATATAACATGCCCTATAATAATATTTGGAAACAGCTGTTGCTATGTGTCAAACATTGCTATTTTGTGGTACAAAATTTATTTTATCCCAAAAAAATACATGGGGTGGTGTCTTTAGCATCAACTTTTCAACGCTATATTGTTCACAAATGACACAAATCTTGTATGTAATCTATTCTACGAATGTCGAACTTTACAAAAACGAACTAATTGAAAAAGTGATATTTTTGTCACAAATTAACAAAAAATTCCATGTAGTGACCCCTTAACTCATGTCACTCCTTAGGTAGAGGCTTTCCTGGAAAAAATTAAAAACGTCACATTTAACCAGCATCCTCAAAGGGTTATAATTGTGACTAGGTTATGTGCACCATATAAAATGGCTTAGCATTTCACGCCACCAAAAGCCCTGAAAAGGACTCCTGCAGTATTGATGCGATCGAAGGAGACAAACCCAAATACTATCCTGACCGGCAACGAAGTCATCTACCCACGAGGTCATGTCAGTCAATCAGTTGATCGGGTGTTTTCTGAAGGTTGGCTGTAGTGGATCACCGATACTTCTCCTGACTTGGTGTACACTTTCTTGTATTGCTGTTCATCCATCTCTTGATGATGTCCTTCCACTTATATTTGCTGTCTACCTCTTGCTTGACTTTATTCCCCTTCCAGTAAGGTTTTTAAAAGAGTACCAAAGGAAACAAACCTAAATACTGTCCCAACCAATAACGAAGTCATCTACCCGCAAGCTTATGGGTGACCCGGTCGCCGAGGTCATGCCAGTCAATCAGTTGATCAGGTGCTTTCTGAAGGTTGGTTGTCGTGGATTTCCAATACTTCTCTTTTCTTTTTTGTACACTCTCTTGTATTGCTCTTCATCCATCTCTTGATGATGTCCTTCCACTTATATTGCTGTCTACCTCTTGCTTGACTTTATTTCCCTTCCAGTAATGTTTTAAAAGATATTTCTTTCAGCAACTCTCTTTTCATTCCCAGCTTCTCCAGACCTCCAGTGTTAGATTGCTTTTGTTAGCAGTGGTGTCACAACTCATACCACCAATTTATTATGGTGACCATAATATTTTAAACTAAAAACGGGATATCTTACTAATATTTTGAGCCAGAAATGGAACACCTCACTCATGAAGTCTAATAAGGTCTAAAGATATAACAAAACTGTTCTCTAACTCATTCATAAATTTTTATAAAACACATTTGGGGGGAGGGGGGGGGGGGTACTGCTGGGACATACTTAACAAACAGGACTGTCCTGGGGGAAATGGGGCATATGGTCCCCAGCCATTAGTTAATTCACTCTTACATTAACAGTTTACTTACCAATAACACTTCACAGGATCTAGGAACCAGCATGACTTCCAACATAACATACAACGTCCCCAGCAGATCTAGATACAGACATTTGGCACAACTGCGGCTCTTATTCGTTCCCACACTGCGGCCCACAGTGATATCCAGAAAACCATAGGAAAACCCATCGTCTCACAGCGTAAATATCAGTTTGAATCCAAGCGTGAACATACTCCACCTCCTGTCAATGATGGGAGCAGTCAGTATAAGTCAGAGATTGAAAAAATTAGGACCCAGGCCAGATTTTCCAGCATTGCCATGCGGAAAGCTAGTTTTGAGCAATCGCCAGACAGAGACCCGCCTGGCTTTGGTGATGATGTTGCAGAACATGTGCAGACACCGTCAGGATACTCTAGTCCTAGCATGGAAACTGTCAAACCCACAGAGAAGGTAAGAATTTGCAGTTTATTATTCCTAATGCATTAAAGTCTATGAGTTAACGCTGTTTCATAATTCTGACATGCCTGGTTCAGTTCAGCTGTTTGCAGCAGACTTATTTGCATTTTTTGACAATGGTCTTTTCTTCTTCTTCTTTTTCTTAGCATTCACTGGCTGTAAACTCCTGCAGAAAATTCTGGTTGCTCATCCACTTCTGGACCTTGGTCATGTTTCAGAACTTCGATTTGCATGCACATCCATTTTCTAGATCAGGCTTATTTGTATGCAGACTATTTATGCCTTCATTCTCAGACAGGTGTGCTTCAAGTTAGAATAAAACACCCCTAATTAGTTATCTATTGTGACATGCTTGTTAGGGAGCAGTGGATCGATTCTTTTCAAGTTCCCCCCCCCCCCACCCCACCCCTTACCTCCCCACAAATGGGGCCCCTGAACCCACATGGGGATGAAAATGGTATAAACACTGACAATTATGTTTTTTGGCAAATTACCCTAAGTCAGATGCTGACTTTATGGCAGTGATTCCCAAACTGTGCCGGCGCACCCTGAAAAACAACGACCTTTTCACAGGGATGCCTCAAAATGTTCAAAGATATGAAAGTTGTTTTTTTTTTTTTTTTTTTTTTTTTTTTTTTTTTTTTTTTTTTTATCATTTACATACGAATGTCTGCAATTACAACGGGCAGCGTATTTTAGAACTTTGTGCAGAGCATGGCCTTTATGTCACCAATAGTTTCTATCAGCATCGACAGAGCCAAAAAAACACCTGGTACAAATGGAGCAACCCAGACTAGGCCGCACAGTTGGACTACATACTAAATCGACAAAAGAGAAGAAGCTTAGTAAAAGACGCAAGAGTAATTCCTAACATCTCTTTAAATACAGACCATCGACCGCTGATCGTTTATCTAAGCGAAGCAACAATTAACAAAAAACCAAAACCTCAGTACGTACCTCAGTGATTGACATAAGACACCTAAGCAATCTAGACAACCAAGCAAAAGTAGAGGCAGAAATGACGGCGAAGATGGCTGAGCTAATAACATCAAGTAACAATGTGGAAGCTGCGTGGCAAAAATTTAAGAACACTCTTCTGAACTGCCTAACAACACTCTGTGGTTTTAGATACACAGGAGGAACGTTCAGGAAAAAAACAGCATGGTGGAATGATAACGTAAAACAAGCAGTGAAATGTAAAAGGAGCAATACAAGAAATGGCTAAGATCCCGCTCAGATGACGATTATATCAAGTACAGAATTGCCAGGTGACAATCTGCGAGAGAAATTAAACAATCCAAGGAAACATCCTGGATCATGTATGGGGAAAATCTTACCAAAATCTGTGCTAAATCTAGTAGACAGTTTTACAAAACCATTGCAAAAATGAGAACTAGAGATGAACCATTCCAGCCATCTGAATATGTCAATGATAGTCAAGGCAAACCCATACATGAGGAGGGCAAGATCAGAGAAAGGTGGAAAGAATATTTTCGGACTCTTCTGAATGTAACAGGAAATGAGGAAACAGTACCATTCACACCCAGATGTACAAACGAGGAACAGCCTACAATAATCGAACAAGAAGTCAGAGAAGCAATCAGATGCAGTCCCAAAAATAAGGCATCAGGTGTTGATGGAATATCAGCCGAAGCAATACAGGCTTGTGGAGAAATTGGAGTCACCTGGCTACTCCACATATTTAGGAAAGCCTGGAATGAAAGAACTGTACCAATAGACTGGCAAAGAGCCTTTATAGTCCCAATTTGGAAAAGAAAAGGCAATAAGCAAGATTGTAACAATTACAGAGGCATCCTCCCTTCTAAGCCACGTAGGAAAAATGTTTGCCAAAATTCTGGAACAACGAATTACATCCGTTGTAGAACCGATCCTGAGCCCATCACAGGTCGGATTTAGGAAAGGAAGAGGGTGTACTGACGCTATTTTTGCTTTAAGACAAGTTAGCGAAAAGACAATAGAACACAGACATCAAATGAACATCGCTTTCATAGATCAAGAAAAAGCTTTCGATAGAGTAAACAGAAATTTATTATGGAAAGTTCTTGAAAACTACGGAATAAATAGAACAGTTTTAGATTGTGTTAGGGCTATTTATAGACAAAGTGAAAGAGCCATTAGAACAAGAGCTGGCATCACAGACTGGTTTCCAGTAACATCAGGAGTAAGACAAGGTTGTGTATTATCACCTTTACTTTTCATAATATTTATGGACAATATTAATAAAATAGACATAACACCAACAGATGTCGATAAACAGGAGGACTTCAATGAGCTGCTCTTTGCCGACGACCAATGCATATTTCACAGTGATAGTAAACAGCTGCAAGACCACATATACCTACTACACGACAGTTGCCTCAAGCATCATATGAAGATCAATACGGAAAAGACAGAAGTCATGAGCATAAGTAGAGAGCAACAGACCATCGACATAAAGATTCTAGATCACAGCCTAAAACAAGTACAAGAATTTAAATACTTGGGAAGTATCTTTACATTCAATGGTAAAATAGACAGAGAGATCGAAGCAAGAATCCAACAAGCCAACAATGTCGCATACCAGCTTGCCCCAATTTTAAAACACCCTGCTGTCCCAGCTGAGATAAAAAGACAAATTATAAATACAATCTTTATACCGACATTAGGTTATCAATGTCAGACTTGGACATTAACAAAAGAACACGAGAGAAGACTAACCACCTGTGAAATGAGATGTTTGAGAATGGCTGCGAATAAAACCAGAAGAGATCGAGTGAGAAACGATGTGTTTACAAGAACTGTTGGAACCATGCCCATCGTTAAATTTATTGAGAAGCAAAGAATGAAATGGTTTGGTCACCTAATGAGAATGGAACCAACGATGCCAGCATCAAGAGCATACAACATGAAAATCGAAACACCAAGAGGCAGGGGAAGACCAAGGAGAAGATGGATTGAAGGAGTCACGGTCAACTTGAGACTTCATAACATCACGGCATATGAAGCGACTGAGCGCGCCCTGGCTCGGTTGCCGATCATCTGATAGACTGCGACGCCTAGCGGCACAAGCAGATTTTGACAAAAGAAGAAAGAAGAAGACATACGAATAGTCATGCTTTTGCTTAGGTTAGGGCATCGTGGACAAATTATAATTGAAAAAAGATTAAGAAAAGTTTGGGAAATACGGTTTTATGGTATTTCACTGTAAAAAGATACACCACCAATTTCACTGTTCAGGTCATGCAGCAGCGGGCAGTGGTACACCATTAAGATGTACTCCAGATTTCTTCGTCTCATGACATGACCAACTCCAGTTTTCTTCTTCTCATGACATAACCAAAGAATATAGATCAAGGCTATTCAACTAAGTTTACTCGAGGGCCAAAATGTTCAAAAATAAGGATCCTCATGGGCCAGAAGTCTGAGCTGCATCATTGAATGATCATAAATACAATACAACCAGCAGTGATCCACTGGCCATTAGCTAGTCCTCTGCGGGCCACCAGTTGAATAGCCTTGATTTAGATTGTCTCCTTCTGATGTAGGCAGTCATTTTAGGACATGGCAGTTTTATTTTTGTTGTTGTTATCATTGTTATTATTACCACATAGTCACCTGAATTGTGTTTAAGTATGGAAACTAAAGTGCGGCAAAAAAAGATAGCTTCTAGTGATTTTATCAGCTGGACGCTCGCCTGCAGATCGGAAGGTCTTGGGTTTGGGTCCTGGCGGAGACAGACTTTTTTTTTAATGTCCTTGGCTCCCAGGTCAACTGAGCCTTGAGTGGGTACCAGGTGCAGTCCTGGGAAGTAAAGGTGGCCGGCGTGATGCTTACCACATCATCCAGCAAAGTTCCGATTGGTCTAGCCCTATATGTCCATAACGCCTAAAGACATGGAAAAGGGTCCTTTACTTTACTTGTAGTGGTTACCTTAAAAATTAATTAACATTGCTAACAGAAAGGAGGGTAAGGGAACACAAGCTTATGATGCAACCCACCTACCTTGGACAGCAAGTTGCTTCGTAATCACAGGATGCCCCAGTAAAATTGTTTTATACTTTCAAATGTTCACTTTCAAAAATGACCTTGACTCCCAGGTTGACCCAGCCTTGAATAGGTACCGAGTGCAGTCCCAGGAAGTAAAGGTGGACCGTCATGATGCTGACCACATCACCCATCTTATGCCGTTTTGTCTATAAAAATATAGGTCTAGCCCTATATGACCTATACGCCTAAAGGCGTGGAAAAGGGACCTTTACCTTTTACACACACTTTCGAATAGAGTTTCTGTGATTTGCTTCCTATTGATCATTAGAACAAAGACTCATTTGAAACACAGAATATTGATCTAGTTAGTCAACAGGTTATCATCACTGCACATTGAACCATTCATTTCATAAGTGCTCTGATCCCCTCCTCAGTAAATCCTGCAGCATCAAGTGGCTGATGACACCAGTTTGTGTTGGTTTCCTATTCATCTTTGGCTTCCTGCATAGTGCTCTTGTCTGGCCACACCCCTTTTAACTTGCTAGTCTTGCAGTCTGGTCATGGTTGCAGATTCACAGTCATCACTTGGTTCTCACAAGTGTCTGACTTCTTATAGAGCATTCATTATTTCAACTTGGTCCATGGCTTGTCCATCCATTACTATAGCCTCCCCTGAAAGCCTATCAGCTTGATCATTTCCTTACATGCCTGCGCGCGAAAATTAAACACCACCTCAGAGACACTGGGTATTGATCTTTTGATTCACAATTAATTTCGAGGGGGGGCAGGGCTTATATTTATGTAATTGGTAGAGCAGGCAAAAGAGTGGTCATTGCCAATAAATGTGTAACTTGCATACAGAGTGTCATGATTGTGTATAAGTAAATTATTCATGATCTTTGCATTTACCAGGTAAGGTTATTTTCTGCTGACAAGTACAATTCTGGAAGCTTGCCGCAACTAGATGAAAGCTCTAAGACGAATTTTATAAACGGGAACAAAGATAACACCTCCATCAGGATCTTTGTATCAACAGACAAAAATGGCGGCATCATGTCTTCGGCTCCTGTGTCTTCAAGACTGAACATAAATCAGTCTGCCGCAGTAGAAAATGTGAGCAAAAGCACAGGATTAGAGTCATTCAAAGATGGCCGCTTTGCTTCCACACCCAGCATTATGGGTAGTAGCAGCATCAGTAGTAGTGTTGGAGGGGGTGATAGCAGTTCTTCCTCTGGTCTGGCTGATTCTGGTGTGTGGGTGAAGAGTTATCTCAGCAGTTCAGAACTGCTGGATGAAACTGATAATGCCACTGATCAGGAAGGGCCAGCTGTGAAGACACCAGAGTCTTCTGACAAGACTAACAACTCCACAGTCAGTGTTTCAACTCACCGAAGTAAGTGTAATTTATTGTTTTGGATGTATGTTATGTAGTTATAAAACTGCTTGTGAGCACTGCCTAAGTGGTTTTAAACTTTCAAATGTTGGCACCTTAGTGTCTTTACTGACGATAGCGTTATATTGTGCTACAGGCAGCATGGGAATAACAGCTGATGGCTATGGAGAGTGCGACTAGCAAAAACCATAGCACAAATCCTGGGCAGTATTTTAGATCTGGTGTGATTCTCATGCATGATCCTTCTTTCGGCATGCCTTGCTTATTCCAAAGGACAGGTGACACCACTTCTTTTGGAGCAGAGCATGCCAGTTGTATACTAGGTAGCCACATAAGCATTGAGCTGACCAGATCCTTTCCATTGATGGCACCTTTACAACTTTCCAGATGATATATTGTGTTAAAAGAAGACACAGGAAACAAAGCCCATGGAGATGGTGAGTGTAAAGCAGGACCTATAGCATAAATCCTGGACAGTATTGTAGAATCAAAGTCCATGGAGATGGTGAGTCAGGACCTATAGCACAAATCCTGGACAGTATTGTAGAATCAAAGCCCATGGAGATGGTGAGTCAGGATTTATAGCACAAATCGTGGACAGCATTGTAGAATCAAAGCCCATGGAGATGGTGAGTCAGGACCTATAGCACAAATCCTGGACAGTATTGTAGAATCAAAACCTATGGAGATGGTGAGTGTAAAGCAGGACCTATAGCACAAATCCTGGACAGTATTGTAGAACCATGTGTGTCCCATGCAGCTTGATTTTTTCTTTCAGTATACCTTGTTTCCTGCAAAGGATAGGTAACACTAATTCATTTGGAACAAAGCGTACCAGCTGTATCCTAGATAGCCACATAGGCAGTGAGGCAACCAATTGCTTTCCATTCTTGGCACCTTTCCAAATGATAGTGTAATATTGCACTATAGGGAGGCATTGGAATCATGGCTGATGGCCATTGCAAGTGTGAAGCACGACCCCTGGCTAAAATCCTAGACACTGTTGTAGAACCATGTGATCTCTCTTTTCCAGAGGATAAAAGGGTTAAAGATTAAAGTCAACTGAGTTTTATCCTAGATGGCTTGGTCTTTCTCATTGTAGAACAGCTAGCTGCCATACAAAGAATGAACTGCGTCAATGATCCCCAGAGGTTTGAGGTTTGAACAATGGATCAACATCATAGCGCACGGGTAGTAACCCTTAAGGGCTCCGTTCTACTTCTAACTCAAGTCTGAGTCCGAAGTAGCTCAGCACAGTGCACCGGCGAGGATCCTGAAATATTTTGGGTGGATTTTTAACTACAAATTTTGTCTGGGCAGCGCCGTTTATGCTACTATTTTCGATTTCCAACTGCCAAGGGATTTTTTTACCTGCGCAACAATACACACGGGTGTCTGATCTCACTACCATGAGACCAGGGGAAATTACTAGAAGTCCAGTTGAAAAAATCCCAGCCTTCACTGGGGCCTGAACCTGGGGCCTCTAGCACGCGAAGTGGACACCATACCTGGAGACCACGCAGTCCCTAAAGAGACCCCAGGGGTCTCTGTAGCAAATCGCACTCATGAACTAAGCGCTGCAGCTGTGAAATGAACCCATGACCTTCAGAACATGAGACAAATGGCTTGACCACTTTGCCAGGGAGTTCTCAACCCCACTCCCTTCAAATCAGTGGTAAAATCAGTTAATTTAGAATAAAGCATGCCTGTTGCATACTAGATAGTCATGTGTGTAGTGAGATGACTAGTTCCATGTGTGAAGTGAGATGACTAGTTGCATGCGTGTAGTGAGATGACTAGTTCCATGTGTGAAGTGAGATGACTAGTTCCATGTGTGTAGTGAGATGACTAGTTCCATGTGTGTAGTGAGATGACTAGTTCCATGTGTGTAGTGAGATGACTAGTTCCATGTGTGTAGTGAGATTACTAGTTCCATGTGTGTAGTGAGATGACTAGTTCCATGTGTGTAGTGAGATGACTAGTTCCATGTGTGTAGTGAGATGACTAGTTCTTTTTCCTATCATCTTTTTTTATCAGGCTTACCCTTTTCACAATTCACAAAATTAGTTCAGTCACATTCTGTATTTGGGGCACGGTGCTATTCCTTTTGTTTAACAGACCAGTTTTAATGCCCATGGATATTGTGGTCAATATCCCATCAACCTCCCTGTGTGGAATCTGGGGCCCCATTGTGGGGACGGTAAAAATAGAACCACTTTCCAAAGTATGTTGTACTAATTGTGTAGTTAACTAATTGGGGGGGGGGGGGGAGGGGAGTTTGGGTTCCTTTAAAGTCTGAGTACATCTGCCTGAGAGGCAAGGAAACCTCAGAACTTTCTACCAGATTTTACAGCCCGTGAATGCTAAAAATAAGGAGAAGAAGACATTAACTATTTTTCTAGGACATTTTTTGGTACTCATTTTGAGACTTGATTGACCTGGCAGCCAAGGTCAAATTTTTTTTGCTTTTTTAAATCAGTTTCCATGAGAATTCAGTCTCATGGCACATGGGCCATCAGCCACTGTGCTTTCCATGGCATCCAGTTTGAGAAATGCCATTTTAAATTTGTGTTCAAAGATACTCGCCAATAAAACGATATCAACAGTAGTGAAACAAATAGTGTTGGAAGTAATATATAAAACACTGCGGTGTAGCAGCTAGGCGCTCACCTCAGACCAAAGGTTGTAGATTCGAATCTGCATCGAGCCTAATTTTTTTTTTTTTCAAAAATTACCTAGGCTCACAATTCGACCAAACCTAAAATGAGTACCAGGTAAAGTCCTGGGAAGTAAAGGCTGGCGTGATGTTTGGTCACATCACCCATCAAGTGCTAATTGGTCTATACAATTTAGGTCCAGCACTGTACACCCAGAACACCTAATGGCTTGGAAAAAAGGTTCTTTTAATATATACAACCTGTGTTATGTGCATGTGAAACATGGACAGTTAACAGACACTCTGAAAAACACCCACACGCACCGGAGATGTTTTAAAAGAAAATTATGTACACAATTTAATGGAATTATAGAAAAACAGATAAAAGAGTGGAGACCGGTTCGTGAGAAAAGAACAAGAGGAAGGCAAGGAGTAAAATACATGGATGGCTTGCCATATGGGTGGAATGAGACAAGATCACGGACCTGATCCGTGATACTGGTGATCATGTGAGATGGCAAAACAGGACCACCATGGCTATACAAGTTGTGGCACTTTGGCTGAATCCGGTCTGTGGAGCTCTAGAAAGCAGCCCACGGATCATGCTAACTGTACTGTAATAGTCATCTTTCTCTGCTGTGGTTCAGGCCTCTGATCCATGTCGAAACTCATTTTTTAACATTTCGGCCCCTGAATAGGCTTATTTGAAAATCTCAGGTCTACACTTATAGGCAGGGCTCATAAGGATGATCCACTCACAGGGATAATCCTCACTGTATAGAAGTCAGGCTGTCAACTGAGATCTTCCTTCGAGGGATTAGGCAAGACCGGCTCCAGCTGACGGGCCTTGCTGCTGACGTCACCGGGTCGGGCTAACGATGTGTTAAAGCAACGGTTCTCAGACTGGGTGCTGAGGTAGCCCGGGATGCCGTAAGCGTACTCCAAGGGTACCGCCGCAATAGTCAAGAAAAGTCGGCTAAAATTTTTGAAATTATTAAAGAAGGCATGTAAATGCTTAAAAGTTAACATTTAAGTTGTCTTCCCTCGCCACTGTCGAAAATAGTTTATTTCTTGTTTGAGAACCGTCGCGTTAACGCATCGTTAGCCCAACCCGGTGTCATCAGCAGCAGGGCCCGTCAGCTGGAGCCGGTCGTGGTTTAGGAGCGCTAATGTATCATTACATAAAATTAACACATGTGAAATGAGATGCCTGAGAAAAGCCCCCAACTTAACCATCTGAGACAAGGTTAGAAATGATATCAGACTGTAGGAACAACACCCTGCAGCAAATTAATTGAAAAACAGAAGATCAAATTGTTTAGTCATTTAGTAAGAATGCAGCTAAAACAACTATTAACACAGGCGTTACACATGAAAAGATCTGAAGTGAAAGAAAGAGGCCGCCATAGGAGAAGATAGATTGATGTAATTAAAGAGCTTCTACATCAAGATGCAATGACAGTAGCCATTGCTGCCTATCAAGCAATGGATATCAAACGGTTCCTCCCCACGCTAAACGACAGAAGTTGAAATTGATGATGATGAATGTATCATTTGCAGTGCAGGTGATTAAATCTTTGGATCCAATCATTAAATTAATCAATCTCCGCAGCACCACATTTCACCTCTAAGTAAAGTAAAGTAAAGATCCCTTTTCACGCCTTTCGGCGCATCGGGCATATGGGCAGAGCGTCCCATATTTTTACAGACCATCGGCACATTTCACCTCTGCTTCTATTTAAATAAGTTACTTTCTGAGGAATTTACGATCAACATTGGATTCCGTCAGTAAATTAATAAATTTCTTCGACACAACTTCAACCTCGTTTCTATTTCACTAGTTGCTGGTGTGTTTCAAGCTAATGGTTTATTCATGTGAAATACCTCTCTCCTCATTTTCACATTAGGTTCCACAAACAGTTTAATTTCTGTACCCACTGACAGCTTTCCTGTTACTAACATGGCTATATCTGGTGAGTGCATGGATCGCATGTTTACTGTATTAACATATTCAGAATGTTCACGGTAACCGTGACGTTTAAATTAGGTTCCGCACTGTGTGCCGTTTCATTCATAAATCATTGGACTGCTCTGGGGCATAGGGGCGTAAGCTAATTCTGGGTTATTTCGGGGACGCCACCGGCAATGTGCGATGTTGCGGGTGATTGGGGGGTGGGGGGGGTAAATTATCGCAGCCAGCCGGGCAACCTTTCAGTATGTCGAGTCGCAGTTTGCTCAGCACAGACAGATGTCCTGCGTAATTGACTCACACACCCCTGTCACCCAGAGTCCAAGAAGCTAGGAATAAAAGGTCAACATCACGGTTACCATGTCAAGCACCCTG